CGCCAGGCCCCTGCCCCCCTTCGGGCCCTTCCGCCAAGGACGCAGCGGGAGGACACCAGCCCTGCCGGCACCTTGATCTTGGCCTTCCCAGCCTCTACCTGGGCAGTAAACTTCTGTTCTTTATTATTAGCTAGAGGCCCGGGACCTGAAAATTCATGCACTGGAGGGGGTGTCCCTCAGCCCGGCCTGCCCCCCTCACAGTCCGGGAGCCCTCAGGGGCGGAGGCGACCTGCGATCAGGGGAAGGCAAAGCCCCATCACACCTCTGCTGCTGTCACTGCCGGCAGTGTAAGCCTTGGCCGGCCCTGGTTACCTGAGCCTCAGGCAGCCCTGGGCAGCTGGGAAGCCGCCATCCGAGGCTTGCCTACGCCTCGGGCCGGCCCTAGGTGCCTGGGGTGCTGAGGGGACTGGGGGTCTCCAGAGGCAGGCACACGAAGCGGCCACATGCCTGCCACCCTGGCAGGGCTAAGGGGACTGGGCCCCACCATCTTGTGGCTGTGGGTGCCTCCATCTTTGAGGGCGAGGCAATTAGCATATTCCCTCCTTATTGGCTGTGGGTGCTGCCATCTTTGAGGGTGGGGTAGTCCATTAGCATATTCCCGGATGTGCCTGCAACCCAGGTACATGCCCTTGACCGGAATCAAACCTGGGACCTTTCAGTCCGCAGGCCGACGCTCTATCCACTGAGCCAAACCGGTTTCGGCTTCCCTCTTTATTAGACAGGATTACTAGAGGCCTGGTGCACGAATTTGTGCATGGGTGGGGTCAGGCTGGTCCGCCCTGATAGGGGCCCATGGGGCGGGTGGCTGGGGGAGGGCTCCAGGGCGTGTCCAGCGGGTCTCACTCAGTCTTGATCAGCCGGACACCAGCAGCAAGCTAACTTACCGGTCCCAGCGCCTGCCCCCTGGTGGTCGGTGCACATCATAGTGACTGGTCGACCATCTGCCCCCTGGTGGTCAGTGCACATCATAGTGAGCGGTTGAGCTGCCTTAGCATATTAGGCTTTTATTATATAGGATTATTATTTTAAATCCTCACCTGAGGATATGTTTTTATTGCTTTGAGAGAGAAACATCAGTGTGAGAGATGATCAGTTGCCTTCTGTTCGTAACCTGACTGGAGATTGAACCCGCAACCTGGTATGTGCCCTGATTAGGAAGTGAATCTGCAACCTTTTGGTGTTGCTCCAACCAAGCCACCTGGCCAGAGCCTCTATTGTTTATTTTTTAAATTTTTTTGTCTTCTGCCAAGACCTTGTTCTACTTCCTAGAGATCAATCAAAAGATACAGCGAAGTCCTTAATATGTTACCTTTCATTTGAAAGAAATGCTTCAATTTAAAGGAAAGCCCCTAGCCCACAGCCTTTCCCTTCCCCTCTTCTCCCGAAGGGAGTTACCTTTGCCTTTCTCTCCCCTAAGCTCCAAGGGCCAAATGCAGGACTGCCTTTGGCAAATGCTCTCAGGTCTTCCTCACCTTTCCATTACCCCCCACCCCCATTGGCCACTAGCTCTGTGTAGAGCAGGGATTCTCAACCTTCCTAATGCCACAACCCTTTAATACAGTTCCTCATGTTGGGGTGACCCCCAACCATAAAATTATTTGTTGCTACTTCATAACTGTAATTTCGCTACTGTTATGAATCGTAATGTAAATATCTGATATGCAGGATGTATTTTCATTGTTACAAATTGAACATAATTAAAATATAGCGATTAATCACAAAAACAATATGTAATTATATATGTGTTTTCCAATGGTCTTAGGCAACCCCTGTGAAAGGGTCGTTAGACCCCCAAAGGGGTCGCGACCCACAGGTTGAGAACCGCTAGTATAGAGGAAAAGAGGGAACGCAGAGGAGGAATAAGTGAGTGGTGTTTGTGGACAGAGGCCAGTAATTGCTTCAGGTGTCCCAGACCATCTAAACCAGACTTAAAAAAAATTTTTTTTTATTGATTTCAGAGAGGAAGGGAGAGGGAGATAGAAACATCAATGATAAGAGAGAATTATTGATTGGCTGCCTCCTGCACACTCCACACTGGAGGACTGGGCCTGCAACCCGGGCACATGCCCTGACCAGGAATCGAACTATGACCTCCTGGTTCATGTCGATGCTCAACCACTGAGCCACACTGGCCAGGCTAAACCAGACTTATTTTAAAATTGACTCATTTGTGACCTTAAACATGAATATACATTTTACATTAAAGGTGTACAGTTTTTCCAATAGAGACAGAAATCGGACAATGGTTGCAAGGGGCTGGAGTGGAAGGAGAGAGCTGACCAGGAACTTGAGGGAACTTTTTGGGTTGATGGGAATGCCCTGTATCATGATTGTATAAAACTGTATTCTTAAATGAGGTGAATTTATTATAGTTAAAGCATACCTTAACTTTTAAATATGTATGTAAATTTTTACTTCTCAAAGGCCCCCAACAAAATAAAGCAAAAATATTCAACCTAAAGCCCAATACTGTTCCCCAATCACCCTGGAAACCAGCTATTTATAGAAGGGCCACCCCACCCCATACCTGCTCCCTCTAGCAACACAAGGAGCGCAGTCAGGAGACAAGAGGGTACATATACTGTGAAAATCTTTATTTCTGTCTCTTGTGGCAAAATAACATTTTATACAAATTAGTCACCTGGTTTACTTTGGACACAAAGACAATAAAAACTGGAATGGGGGAGATCCGCCAACCCCTCCCCCGGGAGGCCGTTGCCACCGGCCAAGCCCTGCTCCACAGTAATCATGTGCGACAGGAAGGTGGTGATCAAACCCGCCCGTGTGGAGGAGACGCAGCGGGGCTCCTGGAATGTGCTGGAACATACATGGAGGACACTGCGGCCATAGTGAGGGGAGCTGAGGCTTGCTCTCCCTCTCAGGAGCACGCAGTGCCTTTCCCTTCCCCCTTCTCCCCTCCGACCCGTTACCTTTGCCTTCCTTCCCCTCCAAGGGCCCTTCTGCCTCTGTAACTTGTTTCCTGAGCCCACAGAGTCTAGCTGGCTCACTTCTACTTTCTCTTGTAATTTGAAAAAAAAAAAATTGACAAGATGTGCGGCCCCACCCGGCACTGCGTCGTGGGGAGGAACTTCGGTAGTTACGTGACACAGGAAACCAAACACTTCATCTCCTTCTACCTGGGCCAGGTGGCCATTCTTCTGTTCAAATCGGGTTAAAAGCAGGGACTGTCCCACACACCGTGATCCATCCAAAAATAAGGATTGCAGCCTAAATTCCAAATACCAGAGACTGAAATCTTCAGCCTTGCCTAAGGAACATCTTGATCTTGAACCTTTATTGTGATGTTTCAAACAGGGCATTCTCTGTACTCATTTGTTGTGGTTATAAAACAATTAGCAAAACAGAAAAGAATGAAAACTGGACTGAGGATCTCAGGTGAAGGTCAGAGGAGGACAGCTCCGCTCACTGATGTTGCTTCTATTCTGTGAAAAATAGACTTACAGGAAAAGGAGACTCCCAGCTTCGGTGACTGTACGTGACCCTGTAAACGGGAAGCCCACCTCCGCCAGACCCGTGGCGAAGACGGCCCATTGCATGGAATGTAACGTGCGGCTCCGAACAGGCTCCCGGGTTCAGCAGCACCTCTGTGTCAGAATCCTGGCGCACTGGCACGGCGTCTGTGCTGATTTCTAGCACAGACAGTCCCCAGCCCCCACCCCTCCGGTGGCCACCAGAAGAAGGTTCCTTCACAGAGGAAAGAGGCCCTGGGAGCCCCCAGCTGGCAGGACACACTACGGCAGGACTCACCTTATTTGTACATTAGACACAGCCTCGTATGTCCTCTCACACAGAGAATCCGGGACCCTCAACTGAAAAAAACAGGTTCAAGATTCCCCGGTCACTGCCATTTCAAGAATCGCCAGTCCATGGTTAGGCCCAACATTCCAAAGTCCTGCCTTACTTGGCAATCAGATGCCCAAAGATGACGGGTGTCTTCAGGAAGTCCTACCGGCCCCTGGAAACGGCCGCCTCTGTGAGATAACTGAGCAACACCCGAGGAGAGGGCAGCCAGCACTAGTTATTGCCTAGTCACTCGTTAGCACAGACGAAAACAAAGCAGGGTCTTCTTTGGAGAAGCTAGAAGCGCATCTGAGCCCGAAGGCCTCACGGGAGAAGGGAGGCTCTCCCAGGAGACTCCAAAGCAGAGGGGCAAGAGCAAGGCAGGAGGCAGCAGGCCCGGCAGCAGGCGGGCCACCAGCCCCGGGGAGGTGCTCCCTCCAGGAGCTGTCCCTCTCCACGGCCAGCTCTGAAGAGAGAGCAGGCAGGGCCTTTTTGTTGTTGTTGTTAATTCCTCTCCGAAGGATATCCCCGCCCCCCCCACATTGATTTTTAGAGAGTGTGGAAGGGAGGGGGAGAGACACAGAGAGAGAACTATTGATGTGAGAGAGACGCATCCATTGGTTGCCTCTGCACACATCCTGAGACCAGGGCTGGGCTGGGGATCAAGCCTGCCACCGAGGTACATGCCCTGGACTGGAATTGAGTCTGGGACCCTTCAGTCCTTGGGCCGATGCTCTGCCCACTGAGCCACAACAGCCAGGGCTGCAGGGCTTTTTTTCCTCCCATCGTATCACCCACAGTCCAGGTTCCTCACTAGCGTTGGCCTCCAGCCCTGATTCAACTTTTGATTGATTCAGATACTTTCAGAGGAAGTATGACTTCCACTTCTCTGCCCAATTCAGGAACAAAAACGTGAACTTCAAACTCACCCTGGTTAACACCCAGAGTGGTGATGCTTCTCAAGCTTCCCTGAGTAGCGGGACCCAGGAGGCCAGAGTCTCAGGCACAGAGCACCAGACCTGCAGTCGCACAGGATGCCAACCCTGTCCTACTGGGCAGTGGGAGCACTTGGCCTCAACATGGCCTCCAGGGAGACTAAGGCAAGCTAGTGGGGAAGAGGACGCAGCGCTATTCAAGCCAGACCCAGGCTGCCCTAGGACACATTTCCAAGACGCCCTCTACTGAGCAGAGCTCTGGGCAGCTCCAGAAGCCACATCCTGACACGAATTAAACGTCAAATGGTAGGAACCCTCCTGATGGGGCTCTGGGCTCGTCACAGACGGGGCTTCTGAAGCTCGACAGGCATGAGGTGCTAGCGGAGCCACGGTGAGGGCAAGAGGCAGGGCTGCTGTCTGCCTGCGGGAGGACGGGGGAGCGAGGGCGCGGCAGCCTCCCCAGCAGCGTGGGGCAGAGCCCACATAAGGCACCTGGGTTTGTATCCACTCCAGTGCGGAGACTTCCCGGTCTGCAGGGTGCCGGACCTCCCTCCCCTCATTGGTCGGACCCGGTGCTGGCACACAGGGCTAACCAAGGGCTTTCTCGGTGAGAAAGCGTCAGCATCTGGCACCGCCCGGACTCTGGCCCGGCACACAGCACCACGCCGAGGCTCAAGACCACTCACACTCTAGAACCCAAACGGGAGCAGCTCGGGTCCCGGAACGCACAGGGGCACCTGTGGCCCAGCGCTGGCCCTTCCTTCCCGGGCCCCTCTCGGCCTTCCTCCCACGCGCTTTGGGAAACAGCTCTCCTGCCGGTCACTGTGTCGGTGCCAGTCACTATCCCCACATCCCTGGGACTTCCCGCGCGGCCTTCCTATCAGTGCTGAAGCCTGGCCACCGCAGCGACCTTCAAGCACCTGAAGTCCCCCACCGGTCAGACACCACAGGGCGTGGAGGAGGGGAGAGTCTACCCGGCAAGGCCTGCGGACAAAAGGAGCCGGATGTGCAAGGAAGCTTTTCTGAGAACTCGTCCCTCGGAACAGGTGAAACAGGCTGAGAGGCCTCGCACCCAAAAAGATTCCAGCTGGCAGTTTGAAGGACCGATATGCATTACTTAGATCTGACCTGCCAGGATGGTTCCAGAAACAATTTCAGCAGAAAGGCAGACAGAGAGACCCTAAGTAAGAAGTCCACAGAGGTTTAGAGGCAAATCCCCATCAAAAGCCAGCCCTCCAGGCCATGCTGAGCAGGAAATCCAACGCGGCCTTTAAGCGGCTGCTGGTCAGTGACTATACCAGCCCCAATGTGAGCCAGAGTAGCCCCAAGGGCCTGAACTGTGCTATCAGAAGTCTAACTGCACGTCACATACGCCAGGACCACCACTGACATTTCATACAACCTCCCAAAAAGAAGCCTGGAAAAAACAACACACCACGAGGCCTGCTCGGCCTCGAGAGAGATGACATTCCGTTTCAGAAGGTACTTGAGTCAGGAGCCCGAAGCAGGCAAGCTCCTCTCCCCTCAGAACGAGGGTCGGAAGGCACTGCCAGCTGACACCTTGCTGGGTCCCGGGAGGACTGCCGGGGACCGTGCAGGTCAGGCAGGTGAGCAGCCTCACCAGCCTCGTGCCTCACCTCTTGGCGCCATTCCTCCCCTCACCCCTTCAAGTTTCTTTCCATTTGGTTTATAACTATGCACAGGCTGAGGTCAGACTGTGCCGATGGCAACCCCAGAAATAAGAGACGGTGCCGGAAGAGGCTGAGCTCGCAGCTCACGGCACCCAGGAACCTACAGAAGGCTCGAGCCTCCTCGCCCGGCACAGCCCTGCAGAGACCCAGGCTCGTCAGGACAACCACTAGGCAGCTATGACTACATGAAAATAATCTTCCTTTTTCAATCTGGATTTGAGGAACCTTATCCTAATCTTTGCTATATAGGACCTCTGACCTAAAGGGCAGGGGAAAGAGGAAAAAGAAAATACTGGGGGAGGAAACACAGCGCTGCTTGGCACCTCTCTCGGGGCACCGGAAACTGCCCCCCAGCTGTGGCTTCCTGGGGCCAGGTCCCCGGTGCGTGACATACAGCAGCTTTAACCACTTCCAGGCGCCAGGACCATGGGCGGCAGCAAAGCACTCCCCTGTCCAGCCCCGCAGTCACTGGCCTCCGTTATAGGCGTAGTCGGCCTTGTTGTGCATTATCAGCTTGTTGTCAACAAAGTAGAAGCTGTCAGAACGGGTCTCGTAGGGGTTTTCAATCATCAGACGAACTGCAAGTTAGGGAAAGCAAACAAGCAAGCAAGACTTAATGTGTGAGTCTGCCCATGAGCTAGGTGACAAACACTTAGCATCCCCGCTACCATGCGTACTAGTAAGCTGGTCCTTCCGGGAACTATGAGTGCACTCTCCCAGAATAATGAGGGCAGAACAGGGGAGCCAGCCCTTAAGAGGGGAACTGGGACCACAGAGGCCTCAAAATGGAACCTGAGACCCACTGCACATACGATGCACTCAACTCGCTGACAGGCCCTGCCTGTCACTCAGCCTGATTCTGAGTCGGCGCCCAGGGGAACGTGCCTACCTTTCTGCCAACAGAGACCACAGCAACTTGTTTATTCAGTGTCTCTCTGATCCCCTACATTCTGGTCCAAATACAAAAGGCTGTACCTCCTGAGGCCACTGCCCACGGGCACCCCAGCAACCAGAGAAACCCTAGGTGGGTGCAGGGGGACGAGGGGGCAAGGAGCCCTCTCCGGACATGGCTCGGTGTTAACCTGGAAATGATGCAGCAAAAGGTCTGTCTGTCTCGGGATCCAGATCTCAATCTTGTTTGCTCAGGCAGCTGCCCAGACCTCTGTACCAGGTGGAGGTAAGGTGATCACACAGTCACTCCTCTGGCCAGCCTGGCGGTAATGACTGCGGCTATTCTGAGTCTTCTGGAGGAAATGTCCTCAACAGGTAACACTGACTGTGTGAGTTTCTTTGAACCCTAACCCGACCGGTTCCTTGGCTTATATGCAGAATGCTGGCCTCCTGCTACACTTAATCTCTTCTTGCAAGTAGCTATGGATTCCAGTCCATCTGAGGGAGCGGGGTTCAAACTAGGATCAGAGGCTGTCCTCGACCCCCGCCCACATCCCGCAGTCCTCATTCTACCCGGGAACAGCACTGCCACACGAGTAAAGAATACCTGGCTGTCAGAATATGACAACTGTAAGCGCCTTCGGATTCTGAGAAAACTAGTCAGTATAAGTAGATCCTCCCCACAGGCCAACTAAACTCCTCTATTCACAGGATCCACACACACCCTCATTGTTCCAGCGCGTTTTCTCTATTTTCTAACAGAGGATGCGAACCTGAGAGGCACCAAAGTCACAGAAAAGCCTGTTCTTCCCCTCGGAGGCCCACCTCTTCCGACCAAAGTCACAGAAACGGGAAAAGCCTGTTCTTCCCCTCGGAGGCCCACCTCTTCCCTTGCCTTGGCCCCCCTCTCTGGGGCCTGCCCGTTCCTCCTCCAAACAACCTCAGGGTTTCTCTCCCGAAGACTCTGCTTCTGCCACGTCTCTCCTGCTCCAAAACCTGAAACCTGTAGCGCTCCCTGTCTCCTCTGGATCTATTCTAACAGTTTATCTAATCAAACTTCTACTTGCAGAGACAGAGCAAGAGGAGGTCCTGAGACGTATGATTCTATTTAGCCCAGTTCCTTTCCAGCTGTGATTAAGGGCACAGTGAGAGTGCCGAGCAGAAGAGCAGAACAGTGGGAACCCTGACTAACAGGGGATAGGAGAGGCGCTGCATCTAATCAGAGTCCATCAGAGTCCCGGGGATTGTCATGGCCTCCACTTATCTCCCTCTGCCACTCCCTTTCCCACAGCAGGGGTGGGAAAGGGGCGGCCTGTGTTATTAAACCTCCCGTGCTCCCAGGCGGGCAGTGTCCGAGTTTGAAACGTTAGATAGGAGCAGCAGGAAACGAGAAGCCTGCGGTCAAACGAGTAGAGGTGGCTGCATCCTGTCACTATTTCCCTCCTCTGCAAAATGCGGGCACTGGACCAGATGGATTTCAGGGTTGTTCCTTCTGGCCCCAAAACCTAGAATGCTGTACAAGTCAGGGATACGTACTGACATCCTCAGAAAGCTGGGGAAACTCGTAAATATGTTCACAGGTGTTCCTGCTGCTGGGGATGCAGAAGCCGAAATCAAAGTCAAAGTTTTTCAGCAAGCACTCCCGGAAATAGTGCCGTTCGATCATCCGGAAGTTTGACACAGGTTTGTCTCCCACGGTGAACTCCACCCTGCAAAATCAATCTCTGTGAGCCCTCGTCTGTCCCCTCCCTCCTCTAAAGCCAACCCAGCTGAGACCACTCTTCTCTGCCAACAAGCAGAACGCCCTCCCTCCGGGAATGCTGGTACTCACGTAGCCCCGACTGTCCGGAGGCGGAGAAATGCTGGTGTGAACTGATAGCGGACGAAGCGTCCTGCACTGGTATCCACATCCCCACCTGCCTCCTCCTCCTCCTCTTGGTCTGAAAGCGGACACAGAATCTTGAGCGCATCATCTCAGCACCACAGTCCAAACCACACAATCAACAGTACTAGTGCCAGCAGCAGGATGGCCGATCTTTACTGCGCACCTGTCACGTGCCAGTCCTGGGCTGAAGGCTGCTGAGAGCCCTCACACAGCCCTGTGAGGCGTTCCTATTACCATCAGGAAGCTCAGGCTCAGAGAGGTTAGTAACATGTCCAAAGCCCCGCCAAACAGTAAATGAGGGAGCAGGGATTTGAATCCAGGTCCGTCTGACTGAAGGCCTGTTGACCAAGTTGATGTGCCAGCCACTAACCAAAAGAATGAGGTTGCAAAAGTTGAAACTAGTCAAAAGGCTCCTTCAGAGAACGCAAACATTTCTGACAGGCAGCAAAGACAAACTCCTAGAAGGATTCTGCTGATTAAGTGGAAGCCACTGGCCTACAGCCTTGGAGCACTGTACTTCCTGGGACTGATCCTATTCCAAGTCCAATACCGACCGCCTGGGAAAGGGAGGAGCAGACTGGCAGCGAACCAATGTGTGGGACCTGAATGAGGTAATGATCTCTGGTCTCGTCCACTCCTGAACCCAGGAAATGAAAGATTTGTAAATGAATCAGAAAGCCATCCTAATGCGAACAAAGAGACAGTTCCCTCTAGTAGCCACCCAGTGTCCAGCAAGGATATTTTCTCTAGGTCTAGGCTGAACATGGGTGCCACATTAGAGAAGTCTTTTAGCATCAAACATCTCTGGCTGTGACAAGCCCAAGAGCAACTGGGCAACCGGCCTGAATAGAGTTCGTACCCAAAGACTCTAAAGCCCTGGCTCTCACCATATGATTCAAAGAGAGTCAGACCAGCCTTGGCCAGCATTGTTCAGTGGTTAGAGCGATGGCTGCACACTAAGAGTCTCGGGTTCAATTCCCGGTCCAGGGCACGTACCTGGGTTGCAGGTTCCCTGCCTCAGTCAGGCAGGTGTGGGCGGCAACCAATTGATGTGGCTCTCTCACATCGATGCTTCTCCCTCTCCTCTACTCACTCTCTCTCTCTCTTTCTCTCTCTCTTTCTCCCTCTCCTACCCTCCCTTCCACTCTCTAGAATCAATGGGAAAAATATCCTTGGTTGAAGATTAACAGAAAAACAAAAAACAGAGAGCCAGACCAAATCTTCTCAGGGATTCCAACTCTTCCGAGTAAGTGCTGCTGGAGGGAACTGCCTCAGGGTGAGCCTGGTCTGTCAACCAAGATGCGTAAAGGTAGAGACTGGAGAGGCTGAAAAGCAAAGTGTATCTGCGGCATCTGCCGCTGACAGTCTTGAGATGGCTCAGTTTTGCACTGAAATGACTGCTCTGCGCCCAGTCTAGTTCAAACCCGCACACATGAAGGAGTCCCAGGGTCCCTGAACCATCCTACGTATAAGGCACGTGGCTAAGGGATGTGAACTCCCAGCCAGGAAACTAGCTGGCCCTGACCCTCCCAAACAAGCTTAGCACCCACAAGCCTGAGCCTTCGGGTGCCTTGATCAGTACCAGACTACGGCAGCATAAAAAATACTGGTGGGTGCCGGGGGCTGGGAGTGCCAGGGAGAGGTCAATGGGGGAAAGGGAGGCATGGTAATACTTTAAACAATAAAGAATTAAAGAGAAAAATGAAAAGAGCCAACACACACACACACACACACACACACAAATACTGGGTGGGGTGAGGAGACCAAGGCTCTAACCTTGACTATGCTACTAACCGGAGACAGACTTTCTCAGGAAAACCTCCGGACTTACCAAATCCACAGGCCCTTTCTGAGGAGCACGTCAGAGGAGAAAAGCTTTGCAGAAAGACTAGACAGACCACGCTGATCCTCTGAAGGGTTATCTGTGCTGGTGTTCTAACACCCACCTCCAGGGGGTGCTAAATCTCCAGTGCTGTGCTCCAAAGACAGTGTGGTCCCCCAGACAGAAACGAATCCCCCTGAAACTGTATCACAGCACAGGAAGCTCTAGTCAAGGCTCATTTAAAGAACCCCAAGGAGGTGAGTTCATAGGCCTGGGCTTTCTGTTCATCCAGAAAATGGTGGAGATTGGAATCCAAACTAGGACTTACTGGGAAATATGAGACACTGTTTAGAGAAGCCAGGTGAACTGCCTCATGAGCTGGACTGGAGTCCTCGGTATCACCTTCTAGAGTGTCCCCAGGCTCAAGGCTCAGGTGAGCTTTTCTCATCAGAGCTCAATTTCAAGGGTTCCTTTCCTAAGGGGAGGCAACGTGCTAAGATGAAAGAGCATAAGACTTTAGGAAAGTCACTTGGAAATTCTGGGCCTCAGTTTCCTTATTTGTAAAATGGGAACAATAACTCCTCCCAGAGGTGTGAGGATTGCATGAGCTGGTACACAGAAAGCAGAACGCAGCGACCAGCACCAACACCGGCTCTCCACTCGGCTTCACCCAGCACAGCAAGCCCGGCAGGCAGGCTTCAGGAGGAGGTCGTGGAAGTGGGACACACTGGAGTCCAAGACACAGGATGCAAAGGCCACAACAACTCCAACTCCAACTATCAGGTGACCATGGCAGCACCGAGGCCTACCTGAGACGCAGGGCTTGGCGATCTCAAACAGCACTGTCCCTGTCTCCAAGTCGCGAATTTTGAAGCGGGTGAAATCAATACTGTAGATGTTGTCTTCGGGTTTACACAAATAATCTGAAAATGAGAGAGGCCATGCCGTTAAATAATTCTCCAAAACCACCATGCATTTCTCAAGTTTGGAGGCAGACTTGGGTTTTTTCTTACACAGTTCACTTAAAATATACACAAAAACTTACGTTACAAGCAAAAGTTGTGGGTGGAGAGAACTGGGGAACCCAAGGGGGGAAAAAAGACCATGGACTTGGTGTGAATGAAAGATTACCGTAACATTTTTAGAAACAGGAATAAAAGGAGATTTCTTTGTAAATACCTCAAAAATGGCCTCCAAACCCTTCATGACCAACTTGGATGCCACAAAAGGGAAGAATTTTGTTTTGTTTTTTTCCATTGATTTTTTTTTAAGAGAGAGTAGAAGGGAGGGAAAGAGGGAGAGAGAAACATCGATGTGAAAGAGACACATCAATTGGTTGCCTCCCACATACTCCCCGACCCGGGCCCTGATCGAACCTGCAACCCAGGTACACCATGCTCTTGCCTGGAATTCGAACCTGTGACCCTTTGCTGTACGGGGTGACACCAACTTTTGAGAACACTGGTCAGGGTGGCCAGAATTTATTTAAACTTCATTTTAAAACACTTATGGCTAACATAGTGCTTATTTACCAAAGTATCACAAAGCAGAGACCAGCACATTTTTCCTTAAAGGGCCAGATCACAAATGATTTAGGCTTTGCAGCCAGCCACTCAGTCTCTGTTACAACTACTCAACTCTCACTGGAGCACAAAAGCAGGAGAGAAACATCGATGTGAAAGAGACACATCAATTGGTTGCCTCCCACATACTCCCCGACCCGGGCCCTGATCGAACCTGCAACCCAGGTACACCATGCTCTTGCCTGGAATTCGAACCTGTGACCCTTTGCTGTACGGGGTGACACCAACTTTTGAGAACACTGGTCAGGGTGGCCAGAATTTATTTAAACTTCATTTTAAAACACTTATGGCTAACATAGTGCTTATTTACCAAAGTATCACAAAGCAGAGACCAGCACATTTTTCCTTAAAGGGCCAGATCACGAATGATTTAGGCTTTGCAGCCAGCCACTCAGTCTCTGTTACAACTACTCAACTCTCACTGGAGCACAAAAGCAGCAGCAGACACAAAAATGGACGCGCATGGCTATGTTCTAACAAAACTATTTATGGGCAGATACATGAATTTGATAAAACCATGTGTTGCAAGATAGTATTCCTCCCACCCCCAACTATTTCACAATGGAAGAGCCATTCTTAGCTTGTGGCTGTACAAAACCAGGTGGCGGGCCACACCTGCACAGGAGCAGGACAGACTTGGTGGAGAGGGGTTTAGGCCAAAGTGAAGAAGAGCCCACAACAACTGAGCAGCTAATCAAAATAGCATCTATTGATCATAGAAAATTTCACTGATTTCTTTCTTCGATAACTCCTCACAGCGTCTTCTCCACAACTCCTTCTGTCACTTTATTTTATCTCCCCTGCGTGTGTTACTTGTTTCATGTTTTACCAGCTGTCTCTCCGATAAGATGGCAAACTTGAGAGCTACTGATTATTCTGTAACTCCTAAAAAGGCCGAGATTAGTTCTGCACTTTTAGCAGGTACTCAGTAACAGGGCTGCTGCTGAGGAACAGACTTTAAGAGTAACAAGCCCTGGCCGGGGCGGCTCAGTTGGCTGGAGCACTGTCGTCCCATGCACCCAAAGGTCAAGGGTTCAATTCCCAGTCAGGGCACATGAGGTTGTGAGTTTGGTCTCCAGTCAAGGTGCGTACAGGAAGCAATGGATCAATGTTCTCCCTCACATCAATATTTTTCTTTCTTTCTTCTTTCCCTCTCTCTAAAATCTCGGAAAATATATCCTTGGGCCCTAGCCGGTTTGGCTCAGTGATAGAGCGTTGGCCTGCAGACCGAAGGGTCCCAGGTTCGATTCCGGTCAAGGGCATGTACTTTGGTTGCAGACTCCTCCCCGGCGCCGGCCCTGGTTGGGGCTTGTGTAGGAGACAATCTCTCACATCGATATTTCTCTCTGTCTTTCCCTTTCTCTTCCACTCTGTCTAAAAATCAATGGAAAAATATCCTTGGGTGATATATGTATATATATATAACCAGGTGAGGATTAAAAAAAAACCACAACAGGCCCTGGCTGGTTTGGCTCAGTAGATAGAGCATCGGCCTTTGGACTGAAGGGTCCCGTGCTCGATTCCAGGCAAGGGCACATGCCTGGGTTGCGGGCTCGATCTCCATTAGGGGCCGTGCAGAAGGCAGCTAATCAATGATTCTCTCTCATCATTGATGTTTCTATGTCTCTCTCCCTTCCTCTCTGAAATCAATAAAAATATAGTATAAACAAATAAATAAATAAATAACATAAAAAAACACACAACAGGAACCAATCCCGAGGTCACCGAGCTCTGGCCCTGAGCACCGACCCTGAGCTCCTACACAGGACCTGGGCGCCCCAAGGATGCGGCTTTGGGCCAGGCATTAGAATGGCCTGTTTCACCCTGGATGTCAGGATAAAGCATGAGGTTAGAAAGACCAGGTGATGAGCACTTCTGTACCTGCAGATCCCAAATAAAACTGGGTCAGAACAGAGCAGCTTTCTCGAAATGTTTCAAAGAAAGTGAACAGACCTCTAAGATACACTCTGCTACACAAAGGACAGTCCCAACTCGGTGATGAAGAATGGGGACATCAACTATCCCAAATCACACGGATCTCTTTTAGGAGATGGGAATTCCCTTCTGGACCAAGCCCCCCCTGCCCCGCCCACCTACCCACCCACTACCATCCCCAAATCACTGGCAAGGCCGCCTGCTCCCTGAGGTGCGCCTGGGCAGCCCTGACCTGACAAGTACAGCAATTCAGCAGGTACCGCTGTCAGCCTGAGCCCCGTCAGGGAGAGGGGAGAGGAGAGCTGGGGTTGCAGGGGGAGGGGCCGGGCAAGCAGGGCCTAACCAGGCGACTGTAAATTCTTGGCGGGGGTAAGGGGGGAGACAGCAAGAGAAAGGACGTCAAGTCAGAGCTTGGCTTGGAAGAAAAACGGAGGCGATCCAGGTTTGGGTTTGGCAATATATTTCTCCCACCCTCCCCTTCATCAATGAAAAGGTGGAGGATGGCTGCACCGCGTGCCAGAAAGGCAGTTCTGAAACCCTGCGGTACTTCTCAAGTCACTCGAACAAGTGTCAAAAGCAGGATTCACCTTTCAGATTTTGCACATAAACGGAAACTTTATTTTTTTAAATGTGGCACTATTTAAAATTTGCATGAAATGCCACGGCCACGCGTCGGAAGAAGGCAGAGCCACCTGCACACAAAGGGGCGACGCTTGGGACCAGAGGGGGCAGGGGCCAGGGCGGCTGGACAGGGTGGAGGGAAACGCCGGGAAACAGGAGGGGTCAGGGTGCAGGAGGGCGACGGACGGACGGGTGGGGCTGGCTGAGCAGGAACATCACTGATGGCTGGGGGCTTCCAGGGTGAGGGCCAGCGGCCCACGCACCAGGGTGGGAGGGTCCGGTGAAACGAGGGGGACCCCACCCAGCCAAGTCCGCTGAGGAGGGAACGGCCCGGCCGAGGGCCAGCGG